GGAAAGTTGGCCACACACTGCAACAAGCAGCTGTGGGTCTTAATCACAGCTGTTTAAGCAAACAATTCTACTTTTGCCTGGCAACACTGATGGGAATGAAGGCTTCTTGCAGTCAGAGCCTAAGCAGATGCATAATTTAATCTGCCACCTGCAGAAGAATGAAGCTGCTGATTTCAACCAGGAGACATGAGGTTGCTGTGGTTTTCTCTTGACCAAAAGGGACAATGCTTTTTTTGTCACTGATGATTTGGCTCTCTTCTTTCTTCCCCTTGGTACCGTAGCTAGGAAATATCAAAAGATACCTATTCTTCTGTTGTTTCTGCATGTTCTAGAAGATGGCAATTCAGCAGCATTGTGTGTATTCTACTCTGCCATTGCTCAGTAGGATACCCTCACAGGATCCTGTTTTCCCTTTACGTTTCAGGGAGGTTGGTTCACACAGGGGAAAACCTCCAGAGCCCGAGGCTATGGCATACCTGGCAGGTGTGGATGGAGGAGAAGGTGGGCAGCACTGTGTATAAAACACTGGACTGTAGAGCTGGAGAAATGATCACCTCTTCTAGCTAGCTGTATACCCAAATCATCATATTTAGCCCCATATAAATTTTTAACCTAGTAAGATGAAGACAGACTTGTCAGTCCTCCTTACTCTACAAAGTTGCTCCAAGAACCATCAAATGGGACCTAATGGGTAAGAACCAGAAATGCATGCTGAAAACTACGACTCTTAACTCTGTGCCTGGACTTTGGATCCAGGGAGAACAGGGGTGGAATGTCCTCTTACCTGGGCGTGTTGTTTAAACTCTGAGCCACTCATTGCTCACCTGTATATTCGGAGTAATATCTTCTCGGCAGGATTGTTGTTAAGGATTTGGGATCGTATATAAAACCCCCTAGTAAAGTATCTGGCATATAGTAGCCAGTAGTAATAGTAATATGATAATAATAAATGTAATGATTATATTCTATGCAGATGTGTGCTGGCAGGACAAAGGCAACTAACACTATTTCGATCAGGTCTCATCTTTGAGATTGTTAAACAAACAAAGAAAAAAGAAAAATACTAATCGGAAATATTTTTAAAAAGTAAAACACTCTGAACATCAAGTGTCAAGCCTAAAAGCAACCACATGTACCAGCCAGAGAGCACGACGTCTTTCATCTCACTCCACCACCATCACTGCCTGCTTAGAGCCCTCAGTACCAGTGTTATCACAAGAAAGAGTACAGCCATGAAACCCCCCAAATCTGTTTCTCAACCTGGGAAAGGCACAGCATTTCCTGGACCAAGATCAAAAAGGGCCAGCACACCCAGACTGCCAGGTCTGCAGAAAGGTCAGGATTTCCTCACCGGCAGCCAGCAACCCAATCTGTAGGAACCTTGCTCTGACTAAATAGGTATGAACTTGGGAGCATGTCCAGTGCAGGGACTGGACCTCCTGGATCCCCCTCTCTTGTCATTTTTGTCTCCCACCAGTCACTCATTTTGAAGCCAAAGAAGAACCAATAGAGACTTGTCAGTGCCAGGCCCTAAAACACTCTTGCCAATCAAGCCGAGAAGCCTGGCATTGGGAACTTTGCAAATTGGTATTTGTGTAACTTCTGATCGATATGAAATGTCCACTTCCAGTCCTCTATGAAGATTCCCTTAAGGTTAAATTTTGAGCTTATCCAAGAACCTCCAAAATAAGCTGTTCTCTCTAACTCCATTCTCCCCAGAACAGTGTCCACGTTTGTGCAATCTTGGAGAGTCATATGGGTCATTGCTCTCCTTCAACCCACGTCACGCCCACCTCCAAGCCCTTAGGTTGCATTTCTCAAATGTCTTTGGCAAGCACTTTCTCTGCTTCTTTTCTGTGTCTGTGGTCAGGGCCACACCTCCACGCTACTGAGATTCCTAGCTGGCCTCCTGGGCACTCATTTCCTCATCTATTTAATTCTGCATAAACACCTCGGTAATCTTCACAGTCACTTCTCTGTGCCAGCCCCTCAGCTGGTCTAGAACCCACTTCCTGATGTGATCGCGACATAATTCCGTGAGCTGTGACCCATTCTTATTTCCCTCTGCTCCCCGACAGCTACTCTTCGCTCTCACAGGCAGCTCCACACTTATTCTTGCCTCGGGCCTCTGGGTTTTTGTGCAGGCTTCTCTTCCCTGACAGAGCTTTGAAAAAGTTTTCCCAAAATGCTAACTGCCATATCATGGGACTGGTACAGAACAACTTCTCTGTGCCAGGGATATATCATGCCCTTTCAAATGCAATATTGTTTTTATAAATAAATCAGTTGGCTTTGTTTTCAATTTTTTAAAAACTATTAAAAGAAAAAGTAAATAAGTTCCATACAATCCTATTAATATTTCAATAGTAATCTGTACATAACATTATTGAATTCCTTCAATGTGTGTGATACATATATTTATGATGTATATGACATATTTTATTATATTTATTATTAATATATTATATATACATATACATATATTAAGAGTCCATTGAGGCTATGTAACTGACTGAAGTCACTTGGGTGGAAGTCCATGGCATGCTGAGAATAAATATTTGAGTATTGATCCTACCTTGAATGCTGATTCTATCCCAAACTCTAAAGATTTGGTCCAGTGGCTCAAAAGGAAATTCCTGACCTAATTTTCTTTCTCTTGCAACATTTGTCTCCTTCTGGCATCAAGGTTTCAGAAAGGGAGATGTACATGCATGTAAAGGGGAATACCGTTCTGAAAATCAGAGCCCAGTCCTAACACACCAAGCAAAACACAGAATCTCTATGTGGCATCCTGCCGGGTATAACATTCCTATTAAACTATCTAAACTCTTTCACTATTTTCCTGGAGAGTCATGCTTTTAATTGCAACTTACATTCCCATTATCTGGGCCTAGCGCGTGGACATTTCTATGGCCATTTCTACTTCAATGATTTTGTAAAAGTATCAAGGCCAATCCATCTTCTGCAGGTGATGAGTTGATTCACTGGCACTTCCCAAATGAGCACAGAGGACCATATACAATGAACGGAAAACTGTTTTCATGGTGACTTATCCATGTCATGATTGTTTTTAATGAAAGCTTGCCTGGAAAAATTTTGGAATGTCAAATCTTTAGATGTAGAAGTGGTTTCCTCCACGAGTGCTAACCCCTCACGCTGTCGCATGGGTCATAAACTGCCAGGCTCAGAAGTGCTGGAAGACTTTACTTCTACAGCTGCGCAGTCACCAACCGCTCCTGGAGAAGCTGGCCGCCTGGGCCGAGGAAGACACCTGGAGCTGGAACTCACCCGCAGATACATTGACTTAAAAAATAAAAGTCTTTCAAAAATACCAAATGGACACATCTCTGGCTCTCTTCCTGTCACAGGGTGCAAGAGGGTCCAAGAGTTGTCAGGATGGGGTAGAGGTAGTGATAGTTGTTTTAGAGAACAGATCACAGGGGTGTGGCAGGCCACTTCAGGGAAGGAGGGAGAAAGGAAGAAGGGGACCCCACAGGGGTAACAAAATGAGAGAAAAAAACAAAAAAGAAAAAAGAAGAAGAAGACGGAAGGGGAGAGGAAGGGAGGGGGAACCAGCAGTGGCATAACCTCCCAGTGAGCATTTCAAGAGCTTAACAAAATCTGGTCAAATTCTCTTTTCAAGCCCTGGGCGACAGTCGGGCTGGGGACTGCATCGCGAAGAGCTCTAACACACTCCTCTCTCGTCTCTCCGCAGGGCAAGTTTCCTCTCTTTGGCAGCCTAGTGTCTCTTTTAGATCACTTGAAGAGATCAAGTCACAACATGCCTAAAGATGATTCAGTCATCATGTGATGGCTACGTTTTCCTGTCTAAAAGCTGGTACAGCCACTAGGCCAGCAGGCCCTTACCCACAGGAGCTCAGAAAGGGGCAGCTGTGACAGGGACGTGCACGCTCTTCGCTGGCTCACTCATTTATTGAGACAGGAACTGGGTGAGATGCCAGGCTACAGAGATGAAGAGGAGTCAAGGGGGCTGACATCTACTGGGGATGGCAAGTGAAATCACCATGACGCATTAGAACCAATGTCGTGACGTGGAAATTCATCAGGGGATAGGGACCCAGGAGAAGCAGGGGCTGACGGTCTGGAGAACTGAAGGGAGGTCTTACAGGGCAGAAGCCCATGTGACTTGAGACTTCAGTGGGAGTGCCCCAGACAAGCAAAGGGGGATGATGGCCGTGGCATCGATGGTGTGAAAGGGAGCAAAAGGAAGTCATGTGGGAAAAGCATGGAAGGCAGGTAAGACATGAGCAGGTGATTGGCTTTTAGCACCAAGGCAATGGGAAGTCCCTGAAGAGTTTGATGAAGGAAAATGACAGAATCCTATTTATGCTTTTGAAAGGTTGCTGCGGTGGAAGTGGGAGGGTCAGGTCCCAGGAAATCCAACCTACAGAGATGCACTGACTCCTGTGCAGAGTCCCACATCGGGACTGGACACTGAGGACCAGCAGGTCAGCGCTCACAGCTCTCCACCTGCCCCCAGGTCTCCAAAGGGCAAATTCTTATATTTCCAAACCACTTTGTTGGAGTTTAGTGGGAAAATTGGAGTGAGAAACAGAAGAGATGGACTTGAGGCTCATGGTTAAGTTGATCCACAAAACAAAGTGCTGAGTGTGAGAAGTTTTTTTAAAAAGTGGAGCAGGGGAGGCAAAGAAGTCTGCTGGGTCAGGTAGAGAAGCAGGCTTTTTGGTGGTACTGGAGGCACTGGAGGAGAGGGTGAAGTAAAACTTGGGGCTATAAAGAGTGGTGATGGTGAAAGGAGAGGAAAGGGGGATTGTAGTGGGTCGCTATGACCTACTTCCTGTCACTTGATAGAGTCAAGGGTGAAGTTCCTTTGTAATGACTTTCAGCAGTCGATCTGCACTATTTGACCCTGATGTGCTTGGAGACTGAATTATGTGGATCACAGTGTTTAAAAGAGTTGCAACGTAAGTCATTTGATTGGACATATAGAAGAGATTGCCAAACAAAAATTTATATACCTGCTCGTTTTTGCCTTAGTAGCTCTTTATCAGCAAGTTCATTTTCATGGAGAATCTGAAAGAAAAATTTAGAAAGTTGTCAATTAGTGTTAGAAGAGTCTTTTCACTATGGCTTTCGGCTCATGTACCCCTAAACATTAGAGCTGAGCTTAAGGCTGCAGATTTGAAGTTAGCACTATGTGACCAGTAGATGCCGGGCAAACGGAATGGAATGGTTGGGAAATTGAAGTGGAGTTGCCTTTGTAGTGTGACCTAGGAACTTATTTTTTGTAGACCAGTCTCTATATCCAGGAACTGAAGAAATCAACACATCTCAGTTTCCCAGAGTTCCTGCATTTTGTGTCCTGTTGAGAAATATAAATTGCAATGTTCTAAACTTGTTCTCTCTGCTGAAGACTTGAGCCCTGAGTCATTCTAATGACCTTTTAGACAAGTCTCACGACCTCTTCTCAGCACTCAGCCTATTCCCACCTCAATATTTCTGTGGTATTAGGGGTATTTAGCCATGTGCATGCTTAGAAATTATTTTTTACTCCTCTGGTCCTTTTTCTCCAAATGGTTCTATTCCTGGTTTTTGTGGTAGGAATTAAAGAGTCAGATTTAGATTCAGACTGCGTGAGAGCAAGGCTATTCCACTTACCATCTGGCTATGTGACCTCAGGGTAGCTACTTATCCTCACTGAGCCTCAGTTCTCTTTTCTGTAAAATGGGAATAATAGGAGTACCAACTTCATGGGATTGTTATGAGAACCAGGAGAACTACAATGTGGTATATAATAAGCTCTTAATAAATTTTTGTTATTATCATATAGTACAGTGGTTAAGAGAAAGGACTTTGAAGACACTGAGTTCAAATCCTACTTCACCATAAAATGGCTGCATGACCTTGAGCAAGTTGATTAACCTCTCTGTGCCTTAGTCCTTACCTATAGTATGAGGGTAAATATAGCCTACCTCACAAGGCTGCTATGAGGATCAAATGATTACTAGATGTAAACACCTGGTAATAATTTTAGTTCCGTAGTAAATGCTACTCAGGGGCATGGGACACCATGCTGTTCTGGGGCACCATTCACATGGACCCCTCTGTCTGCACACTGCTGCCTGGTTCATCTCTGTGAAGTTCATCTCCTTTCATCATGTAGCTTCTTTGTTGAAGAACTAGCATTAACCGGCTTTGCTGATGGGGTCACCAGCAGCTCCCCAGCTGGTAACCAGGCCTGCCCCCTATCTTGACCTGCAGGTTTTTCTGTGATGTGCTTCCCAACTCAAACTCCCTTCCAGGCTCAATTAAAGAGACTTCTTCACTCTTTGAAGTCTTCCTAGATAACCCCTGCCCACAGAGATGTGACCTTTACCATGAACTCTACACACCTATCACCACCACCTGAGACAGAGCTCATTCTAACATTACTGTATTTTTTAGTTACCTTACTTCACAACAATAACAAACATAACAATTCTTAGGACGCATTCAATACCCTGTGCCAGGAAAATCTAAGAGGTAAGTGCTGTTAATATCCATGTTTCACTGATGAGAAAACAGGTGCTGAGAGGTCAAATAATTTGCCTACGGTCATATAGCCTTTAATGGCAGAGCTGGGATTTGAACCCAGCTAGCCTGGCTCCAGAGGCTGCACCTGTCAACACAGGCATTAAGACACCTGATCAGAAGATACCTGGGGAACAGGATTTGCCTCAGGGAGCCAGTCTCCCTTTACCTAGCATCTTCCCCCTCTCTTCCTCTGTTACCTGCTCTTCCCCCCCCCCTCCTCTTAACAAATAGTTCCCTTGGCTGTCCCCCCTCCCCTTACTAAGTCACATTTTTAGAAAAAAACCCAGATGTCAGCCACATACAGCTCAGTGTGAGGTTTACATGTTCCTGCTGCCGTGAGGAGACACTGGTTGAGGAAAGCATTAAAGTCAGTTGAAAGTAGGGAGGGACTGTTTACCCGATCGTTTATAAATGTTCTTAAAGAAATAAACAGAGCAATGATGGATGGTGATTGGAATTTCAAAAGCCCAGTTGCTGCTTCATTTGCAGTGAGGTTATTCAGATGTACTTAAGTATGCAAGAACATAATACAGGAACAGAAGGGGCTACGTCAATGTATAGGGCTGGTTCCTGCCCAGCTTCCCCTGGAGCCTGCTTTGGCTCTGTGCCCAGGCAGAAGGAAGGTTCTTCCGAGCATCCCTGCCTCCACCCTCCTTGGGGCCTGGGGATGGAAGGGGGTGGCCACTGGGAAGCTTTTTCTGTCCACTCTTCATGGCTGTGGTTGTGGGACTCAGCCCAGGAGAAAGTGACTGCCAGTGGTCACCTTTGGGCAGCTCTCCCAGGTCCTGTTTTCATTCTCTCTTTTCCACTGTGACTAAAGAATTGAGGTCTTGATGCTGTCAGTTGTAGATTGGAATGCAGGCACATATCAATTCTCTAATGCAGAGCATTTCAATTCTTTGTGAGAATAAGGCTTACTTGCCTCCTCTTTCTTCAATCTGATTCAATAGGTCTGGGGCGAGGTGCATAATACTGCCTTTTCTAGCCAGCACATCCCTCGTGCTGGGAAGTGTCACTTTTTGAAGATTTCCTGAATCTTGATGGTGGACATCTGGAAGTTTCAGGCCACATCTTTACAAAGTGCTGCTTCCACAATCCTGTCACCTACTGCCTCTCTGTTGTCCAGCGAGGATTCTCAACTTCTTGGGAGAATAAGCTAAGTTTATTTTAAGTTCTGCTATCTTGGAGGCAATGGAGGAAAGAGCATCAGGACAATAAGATCTCTGGGAGCTGGCAGTGGGGGCAGGGGTGGTTGTGGTAAATAGTCTTGTCCATCCCAGATTTGAGCAGGTTTAAAGAGCTGAGCTACCAGGTCATAGGACCTGCATTTGAATAGAACAAATGCTGGAGTCACACCTCAAACTGACTCCCACCACCTCCACTCTTACTAGTTGCAAAAGTCATCGACTCCCTCTAAGCCTCAGTTTCTTACATTATGAAAAATAATATATGCTGAGGCACGTCAAGGGCTTGGTGGAGTCTCTGGCAGGGAAGTATGTCCTGCTGGCCTGGGGTGCACTGCGGACTGTCCTTGCCATCCTGAGTCCTCACGTCACCCCAATTTGGGAAATGGTGAGACTCTAGCACTTGCCTTTTCTCTTAGACTTGGGGTGTTGGGCAGAACTCATGAGGGAGCTTAGGTCCTGCCAGGGGCTTGCAATGCTCAACTGTGTATTTACTTCACACAGGCAGAGCTGCTGCTTGCATCTGCCTCTGCTGGTTCTGTGTGGAGGAACCAAGAGGAATGTCTGAGCCACAATGGCCAGCTCTGTCTGGGGGGATTTCCTGATGGCTGGGTGAGATGTCACCAATTCCAGGAAGTGCCCCACCTGTCGGACTTGATGACTTCACTAATAATTGCCTGGAGTGGGGGGTGAAGCATTCGGTCAAGAATGAGAGGTGGTTTTTTACATGTGGAAAAGGAAATCCCCCAGGAATGGGATGGCAAATAAGGCGGTCACCAAAGGCCCCAGCTGTCCTGAATCTCACCCCTCCTCGCCAGATCATAAGCACTTGGGCTCTGTGCTAGGCACTGTGCTAAGGACTGTGTATATGAGAACATGTAATCCTCATGGCAAACCAGTGAAGGAGATACTATTTATTGTCATTTTATGTAGAGAAAATAGGTTCAGGGAGATGAAGAAAACTTGATGATGTTTCCAAAGCTAGACAGGGTCAGAGCTGGTTTCAAACCCAGGACTGATGCAAGTTGAGGGTACAGCTCTGCCACTCCACGTGTGTCACTGGGGCCAAAGCATCGGCAGCCTGTCAGAAAGCCAACATCGTGGGCCCACCCCAGGCTGAATGAGCTGAAATCTGTATTTTAAGAAGTTCCCCAGGCAGATTCGTGTGCACACTGAAGTTTAAGAAGCACTGAGCTACATCATCACACTTTAAAAATCCGTCACCTTATATTTGTTCGATCAAGTTCACAGCAGCATTATTCACTACAGCGAATAGGTGGGAGTGACCCAAGCATCCATTGACTGATGAAGCAAATGTGGTAACGTACACGTGATGAAATATTGCTCAGCCTTAAAAAGGGAGGGAATTCTGTACGTGCTGCCACATGGCTGAACCTTGAGGACAATATGCTAAGTGAAATAAGCCAGATACAGAAAGACAAATAGTGTGTGATTCTACTTATATGAGGTATCTGGAGTAGTCACGTTCATAGAAACTGAAAGTAGAATGGTGGTTGTCAGGGGCTGGTGGACAGGGGAAATGGGGAGTTGTTTAATAGGTATAGAGCTTCAGTTTTGCAAGATGAAAAAGTTCTAGAGATCTATTGCACAACAATTTGAATATATTTAACACTACTGAACTGTATACTTAAAAAAGGTTTAAGACGTTTGTTGGGAAAACGGAATAATTTAATCAGGCCCCCTCGCCTCGGGCAGGTTGGGGGTGGTGCAGCATTCTTTGTGGGCAGGTTGTGTGTGGGCAGAGTTAGTGCACCTGCTCGGTGCCACCACCTTGGCTGGCGGCTGCCTCAGGTGGACGGATGCCCTCCGCACAACCATGCTTTCCAACCTACGGCTTCCAAGGAGCTATTTGCCCATTTCCTAGCTCATAGACCTGCGTGTGGAGGGTCTGGTGACCCAGCTTGGCATGGGAGGGGTCTGGTGACCAAGCCTGGCACGTTTAGGGTTTGTGACCCAGTCTGTGAATGGGTTTGAGGGGTCTGTGAGCTCCAGACCCAGCCCTAGCTCGACAATTGGCCCAGTTGGTGCAGGATTACCAGCAGGTAAAATAGCCTGACAACTGGTATGGTCGAGTAGCTTTACAATTGGCGCCACGAACAGGATAAGTAGCTCTGCAATCGGCTGTGTCGACAAAATTCCGACATTAGCAGAGCGCCACAATGTTACATTTTACATTATGTGTATTTTGCTACATTTTTTTTTAAAAAAAGCACATCACCACATGTTGCGCTTCAGATGGTAGCTGGTCTGCTGTGGGAGCTGGTGGCAGCGCAGGGCAGCATATTGTTAGGGAGGCTCAAGTGCCCCTCTCCAATGGGGGTCCTTGGCCTGTGGGTTGTATGAAATTATTATACCTTGAGGGGCAGATCAGCAAGAAAAAGTGGATTTTGGGGTGGGTGGGTGGTAAGAGCTTCCAGAAAGATGAAGTTCAAATTCCACCAGCAGCCCTAGGCAGTCACTGGCTTATTTCTTGACCAACTTATGCCACCAGGCAGATGGAGGGACTTTGCCAGGGCCGCCACTAGGAGGGCAGACCTGGCACAGTAGAAGAGCACTGCTGCTGCCACAAGCACACTAAGAAACTCCAGGAACAGAGACAGAGACAAAGCTAACCCCTGCTGAGATCAGCTCAAGCTCTGTTGGTTTTCTCCCCCCAGGCCTTAGGTAACCAGAGCTCTGCACCGATCACGGGAATTCACCAGAAGTGTATGTTTCCCTCTTCTGTTTACATGAGTAGGCTGCTGCATCTGATTGTACAGGTTGCACCCTCCTTACTGGAGCTTGGAGGAGGAGATATACCATGTATACCCCAAGTCATGACAGAAATAAAGAAAAGGGCAAAGATATCCTAGGTCAATGAAAGACCCAAAAATGGAAAGAAGAAAGTGCATAAAGTCATGAAACTAAATCCTGAAAGTAAGATCAAGCATTTTAAATATGATATCAACTGTTATAAATTATACACCCCTAATCAAAATCAAGGTTGCTCAGACTTGGTTTAAAATTAAAAAAAAATACATTCAAGTACATGTTTCTAAGAGAACCATTAAAGTGGTATAATGAAAGCTAAGAAAAAAATAAGGGGCATAGATCAGGCAAACACAAATACAAAAGCAGGACTGACAACTGGAATAGAAGACAAAGAATTAAATTAAAAAGTACCAAGCAGGACAAACAGAGACATTTTATAATGCTAAAATGTACCAATGGAGCTCTAACAACAGTGACAAGCCATAAAATAGAACTAAAATATCTAAAAAAGAAAAACAATAGAAAAATATTATTACGGTGAGAGAAATAATAACAGAAAATATTTACATAGCAATTATTATGTGCCAGGCACTGTTCTAAGGCATCTTATAAATATTAACTAACTTAACTTTCATAAGCATCCTAGGAAATCAGTACTACTATCATTGTTTTACAGATGAAAAAACTGTGACAAAGAGAGAATTGTATCAGTCTCCCCAAATTTCCCAGCCAATAACACACCCCATCTCTGGTGCATGAAGAAGCCTAAGGAAGAAATAATCCAATGATTCCCATAAGCGATAAGGAGGTACTTATCCCCCTCTTTACTAAGTTAAACTCCTATTGACTTTCTAAAGACAAAACAACCTGGATAATTTGTCAGCCAAGGTCTTAGAGGATATCTGTGGTCCCTCTAGCTACAACAATCTGTGGTTGTGACACCCACACAGAGATTAATGTCTTTTGAAATGTGTTCCAGCCTGATGCCCAAGTTAAAACAAATCCTTTGAGAACATGAGTTCTGCTCAATCCTCCAAATCTGCTGTGTTGTCATTGTTGCCAGTTTCCAAGTGGAAGCCTCAGGCCTGGAGGTTGCAATTTGTTAAAGAAGGAAGCCTGGGAGATCTCTCTTGAAGCTGCCTTGACGTTCCCTTGATCCCACCACTGATTTCAGAGTATTCCAAGTTTTATGTAGCCCAGTGAACATGCTAACGTCCATTTATGTTCACCCTCTGCCTCATTTGCAACATTTTCTCAAAGGCCCTACTATTTTTCTTTTTTTAAGAAGCATTTTTTGTCTGTGATATTCCCAAGAAGTCAGGGAAATGTGTCAGGGAAAATTACAGCAGACGTGAATTTACTCACCAAAGGATGATCAAGAGACTCTAAATTCAAGTTCAGTGTAGCTTTGGAAGAATAAATCACGATAAACACAAAGCACAAAGTGGTTCTCCTTGGGAATGTCATTTCTTCAAGTTTGAGTTGCTTTGCCTGAAATAGAAATATGATGGTTTAACGATAGGGAAATCTATTTATTAAACAAGGAAAGAGACCAGCAAGCCCTGTCTTCAAGGTCACACCACACAAGGACCTTTTCAGAAGAGAGGGGAAAGGAAGAGCGTAAAGGAATCAACTCTAGAGAACAACCTCTGCCCTAGATGCTGGGGTGAGGAAACGATGTCAGGAAGGTTGGGGCTTGCAGAGGGTGAGGATAGTGCCTGTAAATAGGACAAAGGCAGCACATGTTTGGGCATATTTTCTACATACATGGAAAAGGAGAGAGAGAGAAGGAAAGAGAAGGGAGAATAAGGAGAGGGAGAGAAAGCAAGAAAAAGGGCAAGACTGCTCAGTAAGAAATGCTTTTAACATTGCTACCCAGTGTATGAGATGCATGAACAAAAGGGTTCAGAGAGTACTTCTCACCCTTGCTACATACAATGTACTTTGATGTCTTCAATTCTTTTTTATTATATATTTTTTGCAGCTGGCCAATATGTGGATCTGAACCCTTGAACTTGTTATATAAACACCACACTCTAACCAACTGAGCTAACCAGACAGCCCTGATATTTTCAATTCTACCCTATTTTTTCTTTTAATTCTGACAGTACCCGTTATATTGACTTTATGATCCATATTAGTGGGCTACGACCCATTAGTATAAAAACTCCTTCACTTAGTATGAAAACTTAGCATAAAAATATAAGTTGTATTTTATAGTCTTATTTCATATTATAGTACATAATATAGGATATTAATATCATGATATATCCTAAGTAATGATTTTAAAAACTATCTGTTTATTATGCTAGTGATGAAAATGGAGCTTTCTGGTGGCCAAATTAAGCCCTGTTGCATTTAAAAAGGAGGACCACATGGATTAATCCCAACCCTACCACATCTGGGGACCAAGGCAGTCGACTTTGTGCAGACTCCTTTCCTTACTGGATTTTCTATGCCCATGTGTTGTTGTGAAAAGGACAGTAGACCAAGGGACAGAAGATAAAGGTTAGGATCCAGGATCCCTATAAACTGTGTCCTTGAGGAAGTCACTTATCATCCCTGAGTCCAGGTTTCCCCGTGTGTAAAGTGGAGATAACCATACCTCCCCTAACTCTCTCACCAAGTGTTCTGGGATTCAAATGAAATTAAAAGCCATGAAGAGCTCCAGAGGTGCAGGCTGCAATGATTATCATGTTGTCAGTGGAATCCAGAGGGCAACCAGCAGGAAGGGCAGGCCTTGGCTGAGGCATTGCAGGGAGTGCCAGGGAAGTACAGCCAGGAGAACACACTGATGATAGCCAAGATTTACACACCAGGCAGAATCGTATTTCAATCACCAGCTGCCGACTACTGCCTTTTTCTTTTCCCCAGTGGAAAAGAAAGGAAGCATAGGGCCCTGCAAAACTGACTGATTTTGCAAATCTGGCAGTAAAATACACTTTTAAAATTCTGCAACTCAATGGTTTTTAGGAAATGCTTTGCAATTTAGGTTATGGGAATAGATGTTTAAGACTAGATGCATTTGTTGTAAGGAAATCACAATAATGCATTCCTTAGTTCTCTATTAGAAGTTTTCCCTCCCTTATTGGAAGAAAGTGAGCTTTTGTGGGTATTAGACGGTTTGATTTAGCCTGCTGATAGCAACTGTTCCTGGAATGAATCTGGTATTTAGGAAGCAACTTAATGTTTTCAGAATCCAACTTAGTGTACTATACTCATTGGTTCCATATTGAGGCAGTAAATCAAGGGGATGAGCCGTAGTAACTGAATAATTAATGAGGCTCACTTATTATCTGAAACCCAAGGAGGGACTCAGGAACTATAGGAACTAGAGCTGGCTTCATGCTTTCTACCACTTTCCAAAATTGGCAATGCATCCTTTTTTGTTTGTTTGTTTCAATCAGAGTTAACAAGAATTACCAATGTCCCCAAATGGTCGTGTCTGGCCCTTTTGTATAGGCCATTGGCCAATACTGCCCCCATTTCTCCCTACTCCCCACCTCCCCTGAGATGATTCTTGATAAAATTGACATTCTTTTCTCTGTTGACTCATTTGTTGACAACAAAATCACAAGTCAAAAGAAACAGAGATGTAGGGACACCCCACTGTGTGGAGGGGAGCATTCTCTGGACACCAAACAAAGGTAAGGGGTCCTCCATGTGAAAGACAGGAGAATCCACCACTTTGAGGGGAGGTAATATCTAAAATATTTGACAACCACTATGGCACGGGCTTGGCCAGTGGGAACGGAGAGATCAGCTGAAGATCACTTCAGCTTTAGGGGTCACTGCTACATTTGGGGAGAGATCTGAAGATAAACTTTTCTTACCTACATCAATAATCTTGCACAAACCCTCCTGCTAACAGGTGCTCTCACCTGTGAAGAAGCCAGTGGAGACTGTTTAGCTTGGCTAATGAAAAAAAAAAAAAAAAAACAGCCATATTCATCCAGTTAAAAACCAAAAACCCGGAGTAGGATAACACACTACGTTTCTACATTCAAGGCAATGTATCTTTGGTAGGTCCTCCTTCACTGTAAATCCCCTAGAAGTTCATATTCACTCAAAAATCCCCGGAGTACAGGGGCAGATAAAGACCAAGAGACACAGAGAGCCAGAGGCAGAGAGAGAAAGAAAATGATCTGATGTCATTCCCAATCTCTTTCTTTCTTAAAATTAAAATCCTGCATACTCTCTACCAAAACTGACCAACCTGTATGAGCCAGCTGTATCTCAGAGAAAGCTGGGAAATAAGATCTAATACTCAGAATTGACCCTGTGCTGCTGAGCAATTTCCTGGTCTCCTCTGACTCTGTGTTCCTGTCTACAAAGTTTGAAGAGAGGAAGAAGAAAGTACACGCTGACCTCACATGCCAGGAATAAGTCATCGGGATTCTCAACAACACTGCATTTGGAGGATGAAGGGTCTGGGTTCCTCGAAGCGGTCAATAGTGACATTCTCTTGCAGAATGACTGTGCACCAGGATCCGTCATTGTGAAACTGGCCTGTTCTCTCGAATCTTAGAAACAACTAGTGCTTAAGATCGACTCCTCTCCTGAACTCATCAGCCCTGAACTATTCCAATTTTATTTTGAGTGGGGAGGTGGTGGGAAGAGGAGAGGAAGGTAACAGGGCTTGAGTGCCTTGCAAGGTTCAAAGCATGTTCACAAAATGGCCATATCTGTGAGGTCCGATGACGCAGTGTCACCATCAAATTGTGATTCCAAAATGCTTCTAAACAGGGCCGTAGTGGGATTCTTTCTGGAAATGATTTACTTCTAAGCTTTACACAGCTCTGCCTTCCCTTGTATTCTCATACCTTCCCCCTCCCCCAACAGATGAAAAAACTAAGGCCTAGCAAGGGCCACGTGTCACAGAGGCAGCTAGGGGCTGTCAGTCAACTCAAGTGACCAAACCATGATTCTTAAAATTCTAGCTAATAATATTGCCCTCCAGTCAGGTGAACCATTTATGATGATGACTATAGATCCCTGTCATTTACTGGGTACTCACTATGTCCCGGGCATAGTGCTGAGCTCTTTACAAAGAGTATATCATTAACCCTCTCCATGATCCCATGGCACTACAAATTATCCTGGCTTCTCATATAGGGAAATGGAAACCTAGAAGGTTGAGTAGCTCACTAAGGCCACACAGCTAATACGTGGGAGTGGCAACATTACAAACCAAGCAGTCTATTCCACCGGGAAATAGGTACCATTTGAGCTAAGAGATCCTCTTGGTGGGATATCAACAAGAATAAATGGAAAACTTTCTCTGTATGAACAATTGACCAGGCAACTGGTAACATGAGTTCTAGTTTCACTTTGCCACTAATTAGCTGTGTGATGCGGGGTAAGTCACTTCACCTCTCTGAGCCTCAGTTTTCTTATCAGCAAAGCCAGGGATTTGACTGCACTCAATGATTTCAAGACTGATGAGTAAGAGTTGGCCTCTGAAGATCCCATTTCTGTTCTAAGAGTCTAAAATTCATCACAGTTATTTCAACTCCAATGTAACCTCACTCGGGTTAACTCCTTAGCCTAACCATTACTATCTCCTGCGTCTACTGAACCCTCCTCTGACTTACTACATGGCCCGGGCCTTCACCGCCCTTCATGTGAGCCATGGTGATGGCTTCCATTCTCTTCTCTACTTTTCTCCCAAGTCACTCCCCTTTCAATTCCTCACTGCTTTCAGAATAAAGGCAGTCATTTTCACTGGTACTCACGGCTCTCCAGGGCCTGGATTTTGTTTTCAAGTGCAAGAATATTTAATAAGCATCTATCATATTTCCACTACCGAAGTGGGTTGCTTTTCATAATCTAAAATAGTGCAAGAGATTTTCCAGTGCTCATGCAAAAGTAAAAATACAAAAATAAATCTTTGAGAATTAATCTTGGAGGTGGAGAGGAGTAATTATAGTTGAATTATTTTTCAGTGTTTGGCGAAACCAAAATAATCCTGCCATTTATTTGCTTTGTTAATCTCCATATTTTCCTGTCCCTTGCCCCAGCACAATCACCATGTATTCAAATTCCATCCACACTTTTTTTTTAAATTTAATTTTATTTTGTCAATATACATTGTGATTGATTATTGTGGCCCATTACCAAAACCTCCATCTCTCCTCCCTGCCCCCCTCCTTCCCAACAATGTCCTTTCTGTTCGCTTGTTATATCAACTTCAAGGAATTGTAATTGTTATGTCTTCTTCCCTCCTCCACCCCCAGGTTGTTTGTGTATTTATTTATTTATTTTTAGCTCCCACAAATAAGTGAGAACATGTGATATTTCTCTTTCTGTGCCTGACTCGTTTCACTTAATATAATTCTCTCTAGGTCCATCCATGTCATTGCAAATGGCAGTATTTCATTCTTTTTTATAGCAGAGTAGTATTCCATTGTGTAGATGTACCACATTTTCTGTATCCACTCATCGGATGATGGACATTTGATGCCAGGTAAAAGGCTGTCTCTTAGGTGGAG